AACCACTGCCCTACAGAATGCAGCTAAAGGTTTTGACTAATGGACTAATCAAAATACAACCCCAATTCCAAAAAAGCTGGGACGCTGTGTAAAATGTAAATAAATGTAAATAAAAACTGAATGCAATGATTTGCAAATCTAACAGATCTATATTTTATTCACAAGGGAACATAGAACACATATCAGATGTTGAAAGTGAGACATTTTCCCATTTCATGAAAAACATTAACTCATTCAGAACTTGATGGCGGCATCGCATCTCAGAAAAGTTGTGACAGGGCAACAAAAGTCTGGAAAAAACAGCTGGAGAAGCAATTTGCAACAAACTCACATGACTGGGTATAAAAAGAGCATTTTAGAGAGACAGAGTCTCTCAGAAGCACAGATAGGCAGAGGTTCACCAATCTGTGAAAAACTGTGTCTAAAAATTATGGAACAATTTCAGAAAATGTTCCTCAACGTGAAATTGCAAAGACTTTGGATATCCCACCATCTACAGTACAGAATATCATGAAAAGATTAGGAGAGTCTGGAGAAATCCCTGTATGCAAGAGATAAGGCAGATGGTCAATATTGGATTGGCACTGCATTGAAAACAGGCATGATTCTGTACTGGAAATCACTGCATGGGCTCAGGAACACTTCCAGAAATCACTGTCTGTGAACACAGTTCGCCATGTAACCCACAAATGCAAGTTAAATCTGTATCATGCAAAGAAGGAACCATATATAAACAGGATCCAGAAACGCTGCCAACTTCCCTGGGCTCAAGCTCATTTAAAATGGACCGAGGTGAAGTGGAAAAGTGTCCTGTGGTCCAATGAATCAAAATCTGAAATTCTTTTTGGAAATAAGAAATACTGCATCCTCTGGTCTATAGACCTTGTTATTAGCACACAGTTCAAAAGCCAGCATCCATGATGATATGGGGGAGCATTAGTGCACATGGCATGGGTGTCTTGCACATCTGTGAAGGCACCATTAATGCTGAAATATAGAGGTTTTGGCAACACATGCTCCCATCCAGACAGCGTCTCTTTCAGGGAAGGCCTTGCTTATTTCAGCAAGACAATGCTAAAGCACATACTGCATCCATCACAACGCAGAAGAAGAGTCCGGGTGGGTGCTGAACTGGCCTGACTGCAGTTCAGACCTTTCACCAACAGAAAACTAAATTATCAAAGAAAAAATGGTGATATAGATGGTAAACAGAAGGCCTGTTTACACCTTGCATTAACATGTGTTTCATGTCTGGATCATATCTGGATAAACTTTGGCCAGATTCCATTTACGCTTTTCACTAAAACGTGTCTCCAGCGTAACAGTTGAGATCTGGTTTCACTGGTGCCATGTAAAAACCATGTCAGCACATATGTTGTTTCAGTTTGACTTTAGTTTACTCTATTCCTCCTCATCATACAAGTCAACAAGCTCGGCTTGGACACTTTCATCGGCCTAGAGTGCATGAAGGCTCTTGGTTAGGGGCAAACTACAGCCTTGTGTGTCCTCCATCTTCAGTTTAAATCTCTCCTGCTACTCAGCACGCAGCAGATACATTTCCGTTCACGTACCTTTATATGAATAATGAAAATGCGTTCCCTTTACACTTGCGTTCTATGTGGTCAAGATCTGTGTCTGACCACCTCTGAACGTGGTTTGGGTGATCCGATCACAATCCGCTCACAGTGCATCCAGAGGGTTTTCTCACCTGGCTTTTTCCGTGGTCAAGTGAAATCCGAATGTGATCCAATCACTAAACATGCATGTTAATGCAACATGTAAACAGGCCTATAAGGTGCCTGCCATCAATTCATGGACATTCGTTGAGCTAGTTATTGTAAGGGTCCAACCTGTGCCACCGGCCACCAGCAGAGGGCGATGATGGCGAGGCGCCATAAGTTCAGAGAACTCCAATTCCCAGAAGCCCTCGGGCTGATTAGGCCCAACCTGGCACACCTGTGGACTCCTCTACTTAAGGCCGTGGCAAACAGCAGCCCTTTGTCACATCTTTGTAGAGGGGTGACCGGTATGGTACTTAGACCAGGTGGGTATTTAGATGAAAGGAAAAAAGAAAAGAGGACTGGACTAAGAAGAGAAATTGCCCCAAAACAACAGAAAGAAGAAAAAAGGGCTAAAAAAAAGAATAAATTGCCCCAAAGCTAAGCCAAAAAGAAGGCTTAAACAAGAAACGGCTCCAAGCCGAACAAAGAGTGTTTGTTCCACAAATCACAGAGGAAGTGTCTTTTGTTTTCTGATTATCTTTTATTTCACTTTTCTGTCTCAGCCTTTGTTTGAGCGTGCTGTTTTCAGCGTCCCCTTACACACTTAAAAAGAGAAAGAAAAGGTTTGTCAAGGGTTCTTCAGTAAAGAAAAAGAACACTCAAAGAACCATTTGCATGCTTAGAATTCTTTGCATCATGAACTGGTTGTTCATGGAAAATGGTACATGGTTCAATATAGAACCTATTTGAAAAAGGTTCTATATAACACTAAAAAGGGTTCTGCTTCTGTCACAAGCTCATATTGGCTGCACTGAATCTTAATATTGGTCTCCTTCACTGCATTGTGGGTCAGTTTCATTGTTTTCCCGTAGGTGGCAGCATTTATTCTCTTCTGTTAGATTCTTTCATCCGTTCCATTAAAGACTTGTGTGGTTCTGTTTCTGGCATTGTTGTCTTTCTGACCAACACTACTTATCCACAGGTCATTGAAATGCTGTGTATGTGTGTGTAAACTCGTAAATAATCAAAATGATTCCATACAAAAAGTACATCAAAATACAGTTGTATGCAAAAGTTTGAACCCTCCTCATCAAATTACATTTTTTTTTTTTCTACGTGAAAATAAGCGAACACATCCTCTAGAGGTTAACATATTGGGAAAAAGGTATGTGCCATAACTTTTGCATAGGCCATATATATCGTTGCATATCGTTGTATGTGACAGCAAGAGTTTTCAGGAATCTGTGTAACCTTCCTAATTGGCCAGTGGTGTGTCAGACAGCTAAATACGATAGACTATCTCAATATCACTGTTGTTGGAACAAAACCTTGTATCTCCATTTTTGTTGTTTTTCAACATTTTTTGTTTGAAAATGTCTATTGTTCTTCACACTTTATGTAAATTTAATGAAGAATGGACCAAAACAAATGGCCCAAAATGACTTGGAAAAGAGTCTGGTTCCACTGACTTACATTAAAAGTAAAGTATGTTTTTTCCTTCTCCTGTAAAATTACCATTTTGGAGATTTTCTTCCAAGGTTTTCTTCCAACAACAGTGGTATATATGTATTTATATATTTGCATTATGTCATTTGACTAGGCACATGCACACTTTTTTGCATATGACTGTACTTGTATGTATTTTAGCAAAATATGTATGTGACAGCAAAAGTTTTCAGGAATCTGTGTAACCCTCCTAATTGGCCAGTGGTGTGTCAGACAGCTAAATATGACAGACTATTTTCGTCGTTTTTCAGTTTTTGACATAATTTGACAATCCCTGTTGCCCTTTGCCTTGTGTGTAAATTTCATGATGAATGGACCAAGATAAACGGCCCAAAATGACTTGGCCAAAGAGAAGGAAAAAAGTCTAGTTCCACTGACTTACATTAAAAGTAAAGTATGTTTTTCCTGTAAATTTCTCGAGATATTTTGGAGATGCAAGGTTTTCTTCCAACAACAGCAATATATTGACTGTTATTAAGGAATGTATACTTCTTGTTAGTTGCATTTTCAAGTTAGTTTCCCTTTCACAGTCAAGCTTATTTTGCTTTGGTAGTGAATTAATAGTTTGATTACTGCTCAGCTGTTAGCATTTACATGTTTTAGCACTGTGAAACACTAAGCAGATGATGTATGATTGCTGTATGTGATCTGTGGCACATGGTTGTACACCGTTTCTTTGCTGCAGCTGCAGACTCTCTCACACACTTGCATGATCCTTATTTTGACCACTGCCTGTGCTGCTGCCTTTGTGATTTATAAATGAACAAAGTTCACTCCTCTTCCTCATCCCTGAACCACATCTATAATACCGGCCTTAGAAACATTCCTAAGATTGGGCCTCGTTCACCAACCATTCTTAAGAAGAATTTTTTTCATAAAAACTACACACACTGTCATGAATCTGATGTAGACTTTTTCTTAGGACCTTTCTCAAGAACAAATTTAAGAAAAATCTTGGGAAGATATTGGTGAATGAAGCCCATTATTTATTTATTCTTTGTTATTCAGTATATCTAGTTTCTCACTGCAATAAAAGCATGCGTGACATATTAAGAGAAACACATTTTACAATGCTAAATGTGTTACTTAGCCATATACTGGCAATATATGGGTATGTAAGAGGAGTAAAAGCTGGTATGCACCTTGAGGCCTGATTTCTGAAATATCTGAGGAACGATGTGACTGTAGAATATTTGGGAACCACTGCCGTAGACTGAACCACATTTGCATACTGCTTAACATGAAATGCACATGTTTTAGGTAGTAACAGGCCAGTAAGTGTGGTTTGAATAAAGAGGCAGAGCAATGTTCAAAGTCCAGTGTAACATTTGTGTTGATATACAATGGCTTTAGCCTTCCGCCCAGTGACTGTCGGGATAGGCCAGTCCCAGAAGGATAAGCGGCTTAAAACGTGTGTGTGTGTGTGTGTGTGTGTGTGTGTGTGTGTGTGTGTGTGTGTGTGTGTGTGTGTGTGTGTACGTCTACAATGGCTTAAAGTATCAACAATTAACTACAAGCAACAGCAAAATCAGGAGGTTGAAAGCAGAGATGAGTAATTATAACTAAAAGACTGATGTCAGAGAAACTTGAGAACATGGCAGGGAAGTTTCGTCAAATATAAAATTGTCTATAAAGTCAAATACATTGTTAAATGCTTCAAACTCTTTATTGTAAACAACCAAAGCTGCAGAAAAAACACAGAACAGCATTGCAAAGCAGTAATTTTTCTTTCAGTATTATTTAATGTCAGTTGGCAGTTTATGCTATCAGATCATGAGATAAATGATAAATATATTTACTCATATGTTTTACCTATAACCCCAGTGTGTTTTCATAAAGCACACAGTTCTAACTCCTCAGCAGTAGCCACCAAAAGGTTTAATGTTTAAATTGTCCAAGTTGCTTAATGGACCACATAAAGGCTCATCATCCTTCTCCTTCATGATGCAGCTGAGAGAAAAAACATTTTCACAGCAGAAAGCAGTCCAGAAAAGAGAAGGCACATTTACTCTGTTTACTCCATTTACATCTGTTATAAATTTTGCCTGGCTAGGTAGCACCCCTGTGACAATGTAAGCTGCACTATTTTTGCGCTTTGCATCTAGTTTATTGGATACAAAATGCTCCACCATATTATACCATTTCTTGTTGAAGTCGCAGTTTTGTGGTGCAGCATTGGTGAGGGTGAAGGTCCCATCAGCAGCATCCTGGTTATGAGCGTGATTCACTGGATACAGGTGACCCTTGTCATACGAGGAATGTGCGTAGTCTTTGTTCAAAGCCTGGTACCGACCTCTGAAAGCTAATGGTATTTTAGAATGTCTTTGCTGAATCATCTGTTGTACTTGACTGCCTCGATCATCTACCTGGAAAATATGATTAATGCATGAATGATTTCTTGATGAAAGGTGATATTTAACAGGAGCTGGATTAAAACCCCTTTTGGCACCGTTATGAGTGCATTCTATAGCTTCTATACAAACTAACCGCTTTTTTCAGAAACGTAGAGAAGCAATTCATTATCTATTTTTGTGAACCTCAGTTAGAATCCAAAAATGATAGAATTGTACACTCTTAAATGAAGGTGCCACAAAGGGTCATTTGAGCAATGCAATAGAAAAAAACACTTTTGGCTCAAAGAACCAAAGTTTGAATAATAGATTTGTGAGTGTGAAGAATGTTGTGGAGGTTTTAAGAACCATCCACTGCAAAGTTCTTTGGGGGGTGGGGGTGCTTTGTGTATGGGATCGTATAAAGAACCGTTTTTAGCAACATTAGTTTGCTACACTCTTCAAAATTATGTCTGGTAGAATTATAAAGTCAAACACATTTTTAGAACAGACTTTTCAAAGACTATAAATGTGTATTTCACTCCCAATCAACATTTAATGAAATTTAGCTAAAAACAATTAATAATTAACATAATAATAATTAATAAGTATTTGAATGCAGTAGTAACTTACAAGGTAACTAAGGAGAGAGTAGATTTCTAGACCAACCTGAGGTTCGATCTTCCATGCTGTGTCTCTGGTAATTACTGCACCAGGTGGTCTTGTGTAATACCTGTATGCACTGTACACAGGTATCCTGTTTATGATGTCGTAGAGTGTTGCATATTCAAAATCACCTGCTGTTGTAGGATTAGATTTCTGAGTCTGACAAATGAGACGAAAGTCATTTTGTCTCTGGGTGTCTGGTATGAGCTGGTTATTAAAAGTTGGTGGCTTCTTTCCTACAAAGAAGTGATCACAGTCTTTAAAGACACCTACCACCTTTCCCTGAACCAGACACGCCAGACCAATGAACAGAAATACTGCGCGCAGAAACGTCATCTTCAGAAAATGTAGCACCAGAGACTGAGGAAAAACTTTCACTTGTCCCTTCAAGGCTTTAGAGCCCTTAGCAAGACCTTAGTAAGGTGGTAAAAGATGGAAACTATTTTATACACACATTGGGAGGAGCATGGACTTATTTTACAGCTGCATGTCCTGATAAGTCCATTAGGCCTATGAGCTCTCTGGATGCCTATGTTTGATAAGTAAATAGACAGACCTGAGGTGTAACCATATATTAAGATAAAGATTTTCAGTCCATAATCTACTCAAAGTTACTTTTTCAACGTTGAAAAGATAAAGTTTTAAAGTTTTTGAACATTTGATTTGCCGCAGCTGCTGACTCTCCACATGTTCTCTTACACTGACCACAGTCCTCTTCCTCATCCCTGCACCCATGACCAACACTGAACCACACTCATAATACAGCCCTAAGAATCATTCTTAACATTATTTATTTATGCATTTGTATCATTCATTAAATCTGGTTTGTTATCTGCACAACATAATGAATGTATGATATATTAAGGGAGAATGATTGACAATGCCAAATGTCTTCCATAGCAATATACTTGCAATATACACCGATCAGGCACTTTGTCGTTCTACAGTTACAGACTGTAGTCCATCTGTTTCTCTGCATACTTTTGTTAGCCCCCTTTTACCCTGTTCATCAGTGGCCAGGACCCCCATGGACCCTCACAGAGCAGGTACTATTTGGGTGGTGGTGGATCATTCTCAGCACTGCAGTAACACTGACGTGGTGGTGGTGTGTTAGTGTGTGTTGTGCTGGTCTGAGTGGATCAGACACAGCAGTGCTGCTGGAGATTTTAAACACTCTGTCCACTCACTGTCCACTCTATTAGACACTCCCACCTTGTCAGTCCACCTTGTAGATGTAAAGTCAGAGACGATAGCTCATCTGCTGCTGCACAGTTTGTGTTGGTCATCCTCTAGTCCTTCATCAGTGGTCACAGGACGCTGCCCACAGGACGCTGTTGGCTTGATGTTTTTGGTTGGTGGACTATTCTCAGTCCAGCAGTGACACTTAGGTGTTTATAAACTCCAGGAGCACTGCTGTGTCTGATCCACTCAGACCAGCACAACACACACTAACACACCACCACCACCATGTCAGTGCTGAGAATGATCCACCACCCAAATAGTACCTGCTCTGTGAGGGTCCATGGGGGTCCTGACCACTGAAGAACAGGGTAAAAGGGGGCTAACAAAGTATGCAGAGAAACAGATGGACTACAGTCTGTAACTGTAGAACTACAAAGTGCACCTATACAGTAAGTGGAGCTGATAAAATGGACAATGAGTGTAGAAACAAGGAGGTGGTCATAATGTTATGCCTGATCGGTGTGTGAATGTGTATGAGGAGTGAGTGGGGGTGTGCACCTGGAGGTCTAATATCTGAAATATCTAAGGGGGTTGTGTTGTGACTGTAGAATGTTTGGGAACCATTATCATAGACTTAACAGAACTGAGTCATCTTCTAACAAACCCATCGAAACGTTGGAACTGCTGCTGCTTTGTGTACTAAAACCACATTTGCATACTACTCAACCTGAAGTGCAAATGTAGGTAGTAAATGGCCAGTAAATGTGGTTTGAATAAAGAGGCAGAGCTATGTTTAAAGTCCAGTGTAACATTTGCATTCATAAAATTGAATACAATAGCTTTAAGTATCAACAGTAAACTAGAAGCAACGGCAAAATCAGGAGGTTGAAAGCAGAGATGAGTAATTATAACTAAAAGACTGATGGTGGAGAAACTTGAGAACATGTCAGGGAAGTTTCCTATAAAGTCGTCTATAAAGTCGAATACATTTTTAAATGCTTCAGACTCTTTATTGTGCACAACCCAAAGCAGCAGAAAAACACTGAACAGCACTGCAGAACTATATTCATGTATCTTTTCTCTCTCTCTCTCTCACACACACACACACACACACACACACACACTTTCTAAGCTGCTTATCCTTCTGGGTCATAGAGTCAGGGCTAATTTATCTTTCAGTATTATTTAATACTAACTGGCAGTTTATGGTGTACGAGATTATGAGCTAAATGATGAATATATTTACTCATATGTTTTACCTAAAACACCAGTGTCTCTTCATAAAGCACACAGTTCTAACTCCTCACCAAAGGTTTAATTTTAATGTATTCTTTTTTTTCACCTGGTCCCCAAAGAGTGAGGAGAAAAGAACTAGCTGCAGCAGCTGATCAAAGCTGGCTTAACAAGTGTTAGCCAATTGTTTTCATACTGTAGTTTTGATGGATGAAATTGCACAAGTGATGCTGGAAATATTTCTGGCTGTTCTATGTTATACAGCCTGAAAAAAGAAATAATTGGAACCTAGATTCAGTTTTACCCTTCCGGGCTTCCATAGCTCCATGTTTCATTGTTATAATTGCGCAAACTTCACAGGAAGAAAGTGGTATTACTTATTTAATAGAGAGAGCTGGCTAAACTTTTTATGCATTGTCTGTATAGCACTGACAATTAAGCTGCAAATGCATTCACAGTGGCAAGAAAAAGTGTGTGAACCCTTTGGAATCATCTGCATTCATGTATAAGATCATCTTAAAATATGGTCTGGTCTTTATCTAGTTGCAGTAAAGAAGAAACAGTCAATGAACTGAGACTGCTGGCGTTAGTTAGACTTTGACTCATTGAAAAATCATTTTCAGTTTGCTTTTTACAAAAATCATCTTCTAATGTAAACCATGCCTCACAAAAAAAAACAACAAAAGATCTACACAGACCTATAATCAACGTTTGATATATTAAAAGAATGATTTTGCAAAGCCAAATGTCACAATATACGTTTGTATATGAGGAGCAAGGGGGAGTGCAGCTTGCGTTCTAATATCTGAAATACCTGAGGGGGGATGTGACTGTAGACTGTTTTGGTGACCACTGCTGTAGACTTAACTGGTTATCTTCTAGCCAACCCACTATATCACTGAAACTGCTTTGTGTACTAAAACCACATTTTGCATACTACTCAACCTGACATTCAAATGTTTTAGGTAGTAAATGGCCAGTAAATGTGGTTTGAATAAAGTCCAGTGTAACATTTGCATTCATGTAATAGTGTGAATACAATGGCTTTAAGTGTCAACAATTAACTAGAACCAACAGCAAAATCAGGAGGTTGAAACCAGAGATGAGTGAGTATAACTAAAAGACTGATGGTGGAGAGACTTGAGAACTAAAGCCTGGAAGGAATCATTGGAACTGCTTAACATCTCTGAGTCTACCATACACAAAACATTGAAGAGGCATCATGTCCCTTGCATGACACCATGGAGGAAGGCGCTGCTCTCTTAAAGGAACATTCCTGCAAACATGAAATTTGCCAAAGAGCAGCTTGACATTCCAAAATGCTTCTGGGAAAATGTTATATCACATCCAGCCGTGCCAGGATTTCCTAGCAGTGGCTGGGGCCGGGCTCTGCTTTAAGAAGGAAACGCTGGGCTTGGAGATGGGACAAGTGAGGCGGTTTGCAGTGGCTAGCAGTAGGGCCAGGGTAGGGAGTCTGGGCTCCCTGGCAGCATGGTCCTCGTCCCCTGTGGGGCAAGCTGCCGGTTCTGAAAAACCTCAACACACAGCGCCAGACGGTCCCGTTAGGGCTGTGGGCAGCGCACATGAGCAGCACTCTCGCCAGCATCAGCAATGTGGCAGATGATGGAGAAAGCAGAACTATGACCGCTGAAAAGACCACGCTTCCAAGCAGGACCAGCTGGCTCCGTGACTGGTAGATCAGGACGGGAGTGCTTGTCCCCAAGGCCCTCCAGAACAAGGCCCCCTAGGACCTGGCCAACGCTCTTCAACCATTCAGAGAACTCCTCCAGGCTCCCTGAGCAACACCAGTGCCCCCCCAGCAACTTCAGACTCCCTTCAACACAATGGGGTTAACATTATTGACGTGGCAGGTTGTTTAATGGCATGAGATTTGATGTGGTCCAGTTAATCTCTTACCCTGAGAATGATTTTAAAATATAGAAATATTGCAGGAGATGATTAGTGAAAGAATCTGTATTGGACAGATATAGAAATATGTCTCTTGCAAATTAGAAAATGTGATGTATGGTTCCATATATCATTACAGTTTTTTTTAGAGCACTTTGTCTAATGGCCTGAGCAAGTGGCTCTAGACTGATTGAGAAGAGAGCAGGCGAGAGGGGGCATCCTTGTCTTGTTCCACACTCTAATAAGTCTGGAGTGGATTTTTTAATCACGTGTAAGCACAGATGCCAAAGGAGAATTAGACAGGACTTTAATCACAGCAATAAATGTAGAACCAAAACCAAACCTATCCAGAACCAACCATAAATAGTCCCATTCAATTCTGTCAAAGGCTTTCTGAGCATCTAATCAAAAAATTGCACAAGAGTATGGCAGAGAGTCAGCAGCTTCTAAAATATGCAGAGTCTTCATATATTACTGGCTGCAGATCACCCCTCAAAGATCACCCATAAATCCTGATCATAATGAATTATTTGATCACTTACAGATTTCGGGTGTATAGTTAAAGCTTTTGCACAAACTTTTATGTTGCTGCAAGTCAGCGAAATAGGCCTATAGCTGCTGCACTGTAGCGGATCTTTTCTTTTTTAAAAGCAGAGATCCCAGTGATGTGTTCTGGTCCCAATGAAAGAATTTATCAATTGTATAGACAAGAGTTTTGTGTTGAAGGCCCCACCTCATCCCATACAGCTAAATATAGTTTGAGAGGAATGCCATCTAGCCCTGGGGCCTTACATCTCTGTAAGGACTGAAGTGCATTTCTAAGCTCCTCTAGGGTCCAAGGTTGGTCAAGTATGTCTCTTTCTTGTTGACAGTACAGGTAAACCTAGCGAGGAAAGAAATGAACTACCTCTCTCTGTTTAAGAGTGAGTCAGATTTGTATAATTCACCAAAAAATGTACTAAAAGGTTTATTAATAGTGTCTGGTTTGGTTCTTACAGTATCCTCTGTCATCCTAATTGAGTTGATTGTTGCTTTAGATTCACTTTCTTTTAATTTACGTGCTAAAAATTTACTCATTCTTTCCTCTGATTATATTATTTTGTCTAGTTGGTACATAGTAAATATAGCATTAGCCATTGAGAAAATATTAAATTCTCCTCTTAATGCAGTGAGTCTGTTTAGGTTATCTTCTCATGGATTGTGTAGTTGTTCCGCTTCCAATGCTTGAATGTTGTTTTCTAATTTTGTAAAACATTTATTCCTAGTGGAATTTAACATGGATGAAAAGGCAACATAGTTACCTCTTATAAAGCATTTAGTAGCCTCCCATAATACTTGAAGATTATCTCAAGTTGTTTAATTACGTTGTACAAAATCTCATAATCAAAGCTTGAGCTCCTCTAAAAAACAGGGTCAGACAAAACACAAACAGATCATTAAAGCTCCTCCTTCAGGTTAGGGTTATGGTTGAAAGCTTTCAAAAAGCCGTATAAAACGCAGTTCTACGTGGAGCTCAAAAATTAGTGTCCCGCAATTAACGCATCACCGGAACTCTCTCCACATCAGGACCCAAAACTGCGAACATAATGAAAATGGACTCAGAGGATCATTTTATTGCTCAAAGGTTGCTTTTTGATGGCTCAGGAGACTTCATATTGATACTCAGGGTGTGCAGTCTTCACAAAGGACCAGTGTCGCTGCAGGTTTTCATTCCAATAACGCAGGAGCACGCATGATCAGTCATTTGATAACTGACCATTTGATTAAACGAGTGGAATCAGTTGTGCTCCTGCTTCTTTGAAATGAAAACCTGCGGCCACACTGGCCTTTTGTGAACAAGATTGGACTTCCCCTGACCTATACAGAACAGAATGAGGTATGGACAAACAACATTTATCAATCAATCAATATTTGCTCCTCTACTGACAAACTTAACTATGGCAGGTGAAAAGTTACACATAATACTACTGTTAATTTTATCAGCTGCATCAGGCCCATTAAACTGGCTCCCTAGATTTCCTTTTATACATGTTTAAATATAAAGTACTATTTATACTATGACTTGGCTGAACTTGATGGAAATTATTTGCTGAGAGATCAGAATCAAGCTTTATTGGCCAGGTATACAAGGAATTTGGTTTTGGTTACAGGAGGTCACAGTGCACAGTATCAGACAGACATTTACATGTAGTGAATAAAATAAAATGAAATAAAATAAAACATGCACTCCTACCATCACTCACACACACACACACACACACACACACAGTCATACCTGTAAACCTTAAAAGACGAGCTGTGACCCCGACGTGATATGAACCTTCTGATGTGCATCCATTATGGCCCAGTATGGCCAGCAAATCAACATTTCAAATGTAATGTTTAATCAATAGTCCATGTCAATCCACTGCTTTGTATTTTGCATTAGTTCAGAGTTGTAACTAAACCTTGACTGAGAGACTATATAATCATTTTTGTGTTTTAAAATAATGTGAGCCTATGAGGAGTGTGAAGCCATTACGTCCATTGACTGGTCTCCACAGAGGGCTGCTGCTGCAAAGAGTGAGTTTCTTCCCATGCATGTACATATGAACACACTTATGCGCAACACAGTTATCTTTTCCCAGCTGCAGTTTGTAAACAGCGTTGCCCTTTGGCATTCATAGAACACAGTACACCAACTGTGTTTGTTAAACGTTACTGTTATTGGCTGATATTGAACTTTGAGATGAAAGAACATGTTTACCTGATTGCTGCTCTTGCATTTCACTCTCATGACCAGATGGATGGTTCTGCTTCATCTTCTCATCGAAGTTGTATGTAACTAGCAGCTTTGCCACGAGGGGGAGGCACGGCTCTTGCGTAATTTGCAGGGCCCCATGAAACGTGTGTAGTGAGCATATTGGGCTGACCAGCTCTGTCTATATCAGTTAGTCACATATAGTTTTATTCAATAGAGAATTGGTGGTTTCTTGGAGAATAACCTCACCTCAGACGTATAAGGCCTGCCCATACCTCAGTCCAAGTAAATGGATCTTCACCGAAAATAAACAAAAACAGTTCTCAACATAAATCATGGTCAAACCTTGATATCTAAAACTCAAACGTAAGACCCTGACCTTTGAATGTTACTAGACATTTTCCTCACTTTCCTCATTCACGTTGAATCACAAATGGGGTCCACAACATTACACATGCGTTGAAAGTATATATCATGTCCTTTGTCACAGATGTAACGTGAGCCTGTTACTCAGAGGACACTGATGCTCTAGTCTGACTGACGTGTCCTGGGTGTTCTGATGGCTTGATCACTAATTAAATATTTCTAATGAGCCAAAAGGCAATCAGACTCGCAGCCAGAGCCACCCAGCTTGAGGCTCCCTCGCCAGCTGTCCTCATAAAGGTCTCTGGTTGATTGGAGCGCACTCTCAGGCTGCAGCACTCTAAGTTGTTTTTTGCACTGAAATGGAATAAGGTTTCATTGCTAAAAGGCAACTGAAACCATTCAGTAAGAATCAACAAGTACCAAGTGGTCTCGGGAGCAATAAGCAATTTTTTACAGTCATGGTTTCCTTATGTTGCAGTCTAAAAATGTGATTACGTTTGTTTTTCAGGGTAATTTCCCTGATAAAAATTCTTAGTTGTCTAAGGTTTTATGTACCAAAACCGGGTAGCCAATCAGAACAACGGTATTTTGCATATATCAGTCTAAAATGCACAGTAACAGCCTGTTTAATAAAGAGATAAAGAGAATTGTAAGAGTTGACTGGTTTATTGTGCCTCATTCAAAAACAGTCCAGGCTGAAACACTCCTTCAGTGTGGAGGGCTGGGATAAACAGACTGAGGCTGAATAGGTGAATATATGTAAATTCAGTGGTTTACATGGCATCACAGAAACAATGAATTCAAGCTGTTTTGAAGTGGATTGTTCCAGTCCTGAAATCTGTGTAACATCCGTTCACTCTGTCCTGGAGGGTGTACTACGAAACAGGATTTCAGGGTTAGCGAGCTAAGTTAGAACTTACTTGGTGTTTAATTCAGACTCATCGATGTCACGACGGTGGCTCAGTTGCAAGCGAGTTGGATCACCATAGCAATGTATCCCCTGAAGCTAACATGCTCAGAGCAAGTTAAGTTGATTCGAGCCCAAGAGATTGAATATAATCCCGACTCTAAACCAATCCTATTCTTCCAAAAAATGGCGTCAGCCTTCTTAGATGACCCAGTGGATATTGGCGCTCGCATTGTAAGAGGATCACTGCGTAGTGCAAGAGTATTTAGGGACAGATTAAATCCGCTTGCTTTGCCTGATGATGTACTGTTTGAAAGGTATAGATTCTCAGCTGAGGGCATTATCTAGATATGCAAACTTCTTGAGCCTTATGTTGGCAATTCCACCCTCCGGAGCCACGTGCTTACAGTGCCACAAACAGTTTGTATAGCACTGCGGTTCTTCGCCACTGGCTCTTACTTGTACTCAGTGGGGGATGCTGGGCACCTAAGCAAGAACAATGTATGTCGGGCTATACGCAGGGTTTACCTTGGACTGAAAGAGCTGCTAGATGTGTTTGAAGTGTTTCCAGGCCACTTGCCAGTGAAAAATATAAAGGAAGGTTTTTATCAGATTGCAGGTAGTTATTCCCGCTGTGCTCATCTATGAGTAATACACTGTCAGTAGCTGTAGATAATATTTGGGTCTTTTTCCTAGGATTCCCCAGAGTAATCGGTGTCACTGATTGCACCCACAGTCCCATAACGACAGCCTTGGGAGAGCATGAGGCTGACTATGTAAACCGAAAGTCTTTCCACAGCATCAATGTGCAGGTACAAAATTAAAAACTGTTAGTGCAGTTAGTAATGAAACTACATGGGCCTAGATAATTGATTACACTATTTACTGCCATAACACTATTATTGTCCATAACTATATTTGATGTTCTGAACCCATCTATTTCAGATGACTTGTGATCATCAGTGCCTGATAACAAGTATTGATGCTAAATGGCCTGGTTCAGTACACGATTCTCGGATCTTCAGGGAGTCCACACTATACCAGAAACTGGATCGAGGTACATAAGAGACCCAATCATTTTGATGCTTACAGTTAAATGTAACGTTTCACATTCTCACATTATTTTGTTGAAAAGCTGCATCACAGGACACATCAGTGGTTTGCTGATTGGAGACAGAGGGTATGCCTGCCTTCGTCACTTGATGACACCATACCCTGAACCACATCCTGGTCCAGAGACCCGCTTTAATGTGGCACTCTCAAAAACCAGGGCCAGGATAGAGATGAGTTTTGGTATCCTGAAGTCACGATTCAGCTGTCTCTGTGGATTTAGATGTGCCCCAAATAGGGCATGTGACATCACTGTTGCCTGTGTAGTGCTGAACAACATAGCCATAATAAGGAAAGAGAGAGCCCCTTCCATGGAACCATCTCCACCTGACATTGTTGATCCCATCAGCACAGATCATGAAGATGGAAGGATGGTGAGGCTTTTCATCACTGAACAGTTTTTCAGTTAATTTTTTTCAAAATTTCTTACACTTTGAATAAATCATTTGCTCTCTATACTCATTTGATTTTTCATTCCTGTTCATTTTATTTGATTACATTAAAATAAAGACCAGTGCCATACAAGAATAGTGTCATGAGTTTATTGACTTGTCAAGTCTTTATCGTTTCTGTGGAGATAAAAATACAACTATGAGCATTACATGTAGACAGTGAAAAGTGCAATATAGTGCAATGTTACCTTCTTGTTTTCAAGTTCCTCTATTTCCAGCTTAATTTTTTTTATTTGTAGTGTCTTCAACTCAATATCGAGTTCAAATGTTCTTTTGTAAAGGCTTCGGACTGTGTCTGCTGAGGGTTTCTACAATCACAATTGCAGGGGTTAGTTGCAGCAACCATGTACAGGGCAATGAACAGTTAAAGACTTTACATATGCACCTCAGAAGTTCCTCTGTTTGGCCTTGAGGTAGATGCTGCAGGCTCAGGGTGTGGGGGCACAGAAATGTTATCCTACACAAGATAACATTCACTTACAGAGGACAAACATGCTATGGTTGCTGACATGTAGGAGACTCTGAATATTGTTGGAATTCAAGTATAGCACATCCTTGTAGGTGAAATATGCAAGCATACATAAATTGGCAACTTATTTTAGCGATACATGACAAAGGTCACTCACCTCTACAGGCCTTTCTGAGCATGCAGATATGGTTTCCTCATCTCCTGTGGCATCCAGCTATGAAAATAGGTTTACATTAATATGAATGTTTTTCAATATATAGTGTCTACAACTACACGTACCTCTGCTTGAGAAGCTCCACCTATTGGAGCAGGCTGGGCCCTCAAAATCAGGGCATCATTGTGTACTGTAACAAAGTCTGCATCACAATAAGTAGTCATACAGACATTTGCCAAGCTACATACTCAGATTTTGTTCATACCTTTAACAAAAGGGGTCCAATCTCTGCTGCTCCCAGGGTTTCAAGAGCTGCCCCCAGCGATACCATCCATAATAGGCCTTCCACGGTTCGCCTCCAAAGCCAGCTCCTCAGCTGTTGTATAAGGAGGTGAGGGAGGCCCCCTTCCTGTTTTTTTGCATTGGCTTTTCTTGCGGTTGGCTAAGAGAAGTGTGAGTAACTTTTAATAAAAGCCATGAAGATAATCTTTAACACAGGCAAAAGGGCATATACAAGCAATCATGATGTGTACAGTTACACTTACCACTTTGGACACTGTTCTTGTATTTTACTTTAACATTATACAAACGCTGCTGCCAAGACCGCTTTGGGTTGTTTGGATTGCACCTGTAAGTATATAATGATTGAGAGACTTTGTTTAATACAACACCTTGCATAGCAACAGTTGTGCATCTTCATGCAGAATCTTAATTTTTTCTGGAAAATATAATAGGACTGCACAATTAACATTTTACTGAAGATGTATGCGGAGCTTACACATTGACGCGGTCTGCTATCTTTTGCCATGCTTCCTCATGAGCCTTTGCAGCAGAGACTGTATTACTTTTCGCCAAAAACACGTTTGAAGTCCTCATAACCTTTAATGATTATAGTTTGCTCTTCTGAGCTGAAGTAAGTGGCTCTGCTTTTCTCCATTAGGCTGCATGTTCAGGCGATTGAATGCACCACAGCTTCTTATATTGTGTACCTACCTACTTAACTAGATTACGAAAACCTGACTTTATTTAGATTCATGGATTAGATTGAAATCCACCTTCGTGATACCAATTAAGCCTGATGGGGAATGTTAGGCTTTCCGAAGCCGGCTTTCTTGAGCAAATACTGAATATATTAAACGTGCTTAGTAGTACACCCCCCTGGTCTTTCTCTGTTTTTGCCTTTTTCTTGGTTTCCCAGTGCTGTGTTTTTGTATATCTGCCATGTGCCTTTGTTTTCTTGTGACATGTGCTTTTGTTGTCATGTTGGCTCCTCCCCTGTCCTGCCCTGTCTTCACCTGTTCTTTGTCTTCTAGCCCCACCCTCTCATTTGTCTCAGGTGTTTCTCGTTTTCTGTTAGTATTTATACCCCTGTGTTTCCTCAGTCCCTTTGCCTTGCATTGTCTATATACACTGTTGCTGTTTCTTGTTTAGTGCTGGTTTACTTTGTTTAGTCTTGCCATGGATTTGTCTGTTCCACTCACCTCTGCCACTGTATTTTTGGACTCTGTTGGATCTCACTTAAATAAAAGCAACTCGCACTTGCATCCTGCCTCAATGCCTCCTACGTTACAATCTGTTTTGCTGATCTGCGTTTAAACTGTTGTGAGGCATTCGTAGGTATCACATGTACATGATATGCAACACCTATGAGCGCCTCACAATAGCTCTGCATTAATGTGCCAATTAACTAAAAAGATTCCCTGCTGAAAAAACCAGCACAGACCAGCAAGCACTTCATGCTGGTCTGAGCTGGTCTGGTTCTGGTTAAGCTGGGCACCCCAGCATGGTCATGCTGGTTGACCAGCATACCAGCATTAAAACACAGCAATGATGATCAGGCATGCTGGTTTTTCTAGCAGGATTGTGCTGTTAATGGACTAGTATGAAACTTGCTTGGTCCACAGAGTGTACAGATGAAGTAAGAGCTTGGTTTTGTGTAAACTGAGGGGCTGACAACTTATTTCTTGTAATAACTAGGCTAAAAGATGGACGGCTAAACAGGCTAAAAGACAGCTAACTAAATTGCTCCATTAGTTTTCAGAGTTAGGCATTAAACTAATGTATACTAAATGATTCACTGTAAAACTACAATATTAAAAGTTAATATGCTGCTGAAAATAAACAGCACGACTAGCATGCATTCCATGGTGGCCCATACTGGTCTGATGCTAGTTTAGCTGGTCATCCCAGTGTGGTCATGCTGATTGACAAGCATACGAACATTCAAAATACAACATGTGTTGGTTTGCTAGTGACCAGCATATCAACTTCCATTGCTGCTGACCAGCATCCAAAAAAGGGAAAAAAGGACACCATTAGTTTGAGGCTAGCTTAAAGCTAGTGCTAACAACACAGGAAATAGCATAGAGATGCTAGTGGAAATTGGCACCATTGTTGTGGTAGTAATTTGTTGAGCCAAAACTACTTATAAGGCAGAAGTTTCTGCATTAAACACTCATGTTATGACATTTTATTATTATATGACAAAAAATGTGAAGAGTTCATGAACTTAAAGTTCTTCAGCTGCTTGGCAACAATAGCACATAGGGTGTTTCCTGCCTTCTGCCCAATCACCGCTGGGATAGGCTCCAGCACCCCCTGTGACCCAGAAGGATAAGTGGTTTAGAAAGTGTGTGTGTGTGTATATTATTTTTTTATCATATTTTTTAAAGCTGTTGCAATTTATAAAAACAATAAGGCGCTTGAGGTTGTGAATTACAGCAGATTTATAAAATAAAGGTATCACACAGATTTGTGACTTATTTGTGGGAGAGAACATTAATTGTTCCCATACTACATCAGACTGTTCTGCAATAAACCCTTAGTTTTCTATGACATGGAACCGTTAATATGGAACATGTAGAGAGTGTTGTTCATTAGCTGAAAATGAACTGAAGCTGAACTGCAGTTAATTTCCAACTGATTTCCAAAATCTAGGTCTTGTTAAACTATGAATAAATCATGTTTTTATTAAAAGGATGTATGTAGTTGCTGTAGTTGCCGATATGCTAGTTACATTTGACCATTTCCTGTTGTAATGTTTACTCAGTGTATGAGTTTCTCAGCTGTGGTGTGAACTTGGCAGCCTCTGCTGCAGCTGATCGAATGAATTAACCTCCCCAGAGAAATGTACCTCTGAAGTCTCTAACACTATCTGTGAGAGCAGTTTATCTCCTTTGTCTGTGTGATCTGCTTTTATTTTCTTTGCAGTGCTCTGTGGGCTTTCGAAATCACTCTGTCTAAACCTGACTCTGGCTAAGCGGAACACTTTCCTGTCCAAGAAGTGTGCGAGACCTGTTTGACCTCTCTGGAGGTACTGGAGGAGTTTCTCTGTAGTAGTTTATTCTGAGATAGGGAGCTTGTACTTCTCCAGTCTCTGCATAGACTGATTTAGAAAAATACTCTAGTCCAGAGGTGTCTAATCTTATCCGCAAAGGGCTGGTGGGGCTGCAGGTTTTCACTTCCAACAACCTGGAGCTCACCTGACTCCACTTGGTTAATTAATTGGCCTTAGTACTCAAGCATTTCATCAGGTGACCTCCTGCTCTGTTTTATTATAAATCTATGCTGATTGGTGCTCAGCGTTGTAGCCAGAGCGCCTGAGCACATGCCCAGCAGGCACGGTTGCTCATCTAGGCCTGGTCAGCAGACTTTAAATACACACAGGTAGTCTGTCAATCTATATAAAGTTACTGGATGAAATTTAGTGCACTCCAATAATAAATGTTGAGGTTGCAATAATCTAGTGTCATATGCAAAGGTGGCAACTTGAGAATTAATTAGCACAGTGCTACATTTTCTTTTTTTCAGTTGTTTCTCCAGGTTCTTTAAGCTGGTTAGGCTGTTTAGGCAGTTCTAGGCTGTTTGAGTTAAAAATTGTCCTCACTTTCATGAAACATTACACTATCTTTGCTGCATGCCAGTGACCCCATTTAGCCATTTTCTAGATAGCAGTAATGGCAGTTGGAGGAACAGCATTGCTAATTGAATCCATTTCTATAGTTGTGTGTCAGTGAATGTTATAGAATGACTGGAGAGGGAAGTTTCTGGTTCTCCTGTGAACGTGTTTCAGTAACATCACTGCCTCAGACACTGTTTGCATCTGTTCAGTCTCTATCATATATTTTCCTTTGCCCTGTTTGCAAAGAGAGATGTCTGCATACTAGACAGTTCTTCTTTATTCTTTCAACAGTCTCAAAAGCTAATTATTGTGTGTAGCTTTTATTCATCAGCAATAAACTAAACTAATAACCAATAAAAGCTTAGTCTTTAGTGTAATTGTGATTACAAGTATTTTATTATAAATTACAGAATCTGTATTCACTGTAAATGCTG